CTACCACAAGTACACTACAGTTCACTTTTTGGTTAAGTCTTCATTGCCCTGCAGTCGTCATCCAAACTATTACATAGATGGACTTAGTATTAGATGACAGTAGTATTTGGTGTATGTAGAATTCAAGGATTTTGTGGAGCTAGTCTTGTGAACTTTGGATTTTAAGCATTTATTGGATTAAGCCAAAATCTGTATGTGGTGCAGAGGAGGTGTACAGGAGCAAATCTTCATGCTTGTATTACTGTTCTTCTGAAGTGCAGGTTTTACAGAGCCACAGAATCATAGGAGCTGGAAGGGACCAATGGATGTGAACCAGTCCCAATCCCCTACTACAGCAGACCCCCTACAGTAGATTACACAGGAAAGCATCCATGTGGGTTCTGAATATCTCCAGAGAAGGAGTTTCCACAGCCTCCTTGGACAACTTGTTTCAGTGCTCGGTCACCCTCACACAAATGAAGTTTTTCCTCATGCTCAGACGGAATTTCCCATGTTCCTGTGGTGTGTGCCCATCACCCCCTTGTTCTGTCATTGTGCACCACTGAAAAGAGCCTGGCCTCCTTATCTTGATGCTTGTCCTGTAGATATTTTTAAGTTGGTAAGATCCTCTCTCAACCTTCTCTCCCGCTGACTGAACAGCCCCAGGTCTCTCAGCCTTTCCTCATAAGAGGGAAGCTCTAGGCCCCTTGTCATCTTTGTGTCCTCTGCTGGACTATCTCTAGAAGTTCCCTGTCTTTCTTGAACTGAGGAGCCCAGAAATGAACAAAGCATTCCAGGTGCAGACTCACCAGGACAGAGTAGAGAACGAGGATTGCTTCACTCGACCTGTTAGCCATGCACTTTTTAATGCATCCTGGGCTACCTTTGGCCTTCTTGGTCTCAAGGGCACACTGCTGACGCATGGCCAACCGGTTCTTTTCCAGGACACCCAGGTCCTTCTCTGCAGAGCTCCTTTCCACCAGGTCAGCCCCTAACCTGCACTGATGCATGTGGTTATGCCTCCTCATGCGCAGGGCAGGAGCTTGCTCTTGCTGAACCTCACATAGTTCTGCTCTGCCTACCTCTCCAGCCTGTCCAGGTCTCACTGAAAGGCAGCACAGCCTTCTGCTGTGTCAGCCACTCCTCTTTGCTTCATATCACCAGCAAACTTGTAGAGGGTGGACTCTGCCTTCCTCCAGGTCATTGATGATGTTTAACAAGACTGCACCCAGTACCATTGCATCACCGCTAGTTATGGGCTTCCAATTAGACTCTGTGCTGCAGATTACAACCCTTTGAGCTTTACCATCAGCCACTTCCCAAACCGTCTCACTGCCCACTCATTTACCCCACATTTCTGAAGCTTACCTACAACAATGTATGGGAGACAGTGTGAAAAACTTCTCTGAAGTCAAGATGGACTACACTCCCTGCTCTCTCCTCATCTAAGCAGCTAATCATGGCATCATAGGAGGCTACCAGATTGGTCAGATGTGATTTCCCCTTCGTAAATCTGTGTTAACTACTATCGTAACTTTCTCTTTCAAATCATTTTGCACAGTAAGATGACATGGTTAAAAACATTTAAATGGTAAACTTTGGAGAACTGCAGTCATTCTGTGAACAAGATTACAATGAAGAAATAAGTTAACCTAACCCAAATTTAAGTGTTTTTTGAGACCCGGGTCTGTTTATTAACCCCAAACTGTCATCTTGTTTAGACTGGTGGAAATGGTGCAATACAGCCACTGACTTAAATCACACTAGGTAGAATAGAAGAGTTAAATTTAAATCCTGTATGCAGACACGTCCTATGCTGCTGCTGTTCACATACATAGTAGAAGGAATTAAATGCATGGATTTTTCATCAAGAAAAGTTATATTTTGGCTTTTAAATCGTGTACTTGTTTGGCTGCCAGAAGGAGAAAATAGGAAGCACTGCAATGACATTTTTATGGTCTTCCAGTTACTGTATATGCTGTTGGGACTGATTAACAAGAATGTTAGTTTTTCATATTTCATGGGAATAGTAGTGTCTGTCTCCCTTTATGGCTGCCTTGGGAGTATGGTGAATACTGCTCAGCTGTAACTTGTTTTTTCTATTCTGCAATAGGAGAATTTAGATGAAAGTTTAAAGGTTTGGTGGACAGTGTGCCCTTCATCCAGTAGCTAAGATCTGCCCTGCTGGGGAAGGTGTGCAAGCAGTGCCTCTATGGCTTCATAGATAAAGAGCCCAAACAGCATTTTTCCCACTGTGTGTGGAAGGAGAATATTCCATGAGGTCTGAGGGGGAGCAGGCATATGCATTTATTCCTGCTTTGTTCCCTTTGTGATACGAGTTGCTAACATCAAGGCAAATTCTCTGCCTTAATCTGGAATCTCACATTGATTTTACATGGGTTTCTGCAGCAGACAGGGCAAATGGATTTTTTTGGGGGGGGTTGGGGTGGGTAAGGAGGGATGTAAGTTTTATTGTGTCTTTGTATTTGAAGCTCAGTTTGTTTATAGCTTCCATAAGTACCAACAGTGAAACAGCTTGTGTGAAGGAAGAGCCTGGATGGCTGTTTCTGAATGTCACTGTTTATTTGCTCATAACAGTGCAGTTATAAAAGGCAGAAGCTGAGCCGTTGGGGTATAGCCTACAATGAAGGAGGAAGAAGCTGAGTGCCATGGCATTTCCCTGATGTGGATGTTAACTTGAGTGAAGGAAGGAGACAAAACTCATTCGCTGCAAACTTCTAATGCAATTTGCAGCGTTACGTTGGGGTGAAGGTTGTTTTAGTCAGGATTGTATGGGATGTAACATCGTGAATCTGCAGGGACGATCAGGTATGTCAGGCTTGGAATGCCACTGTGTCCAGAAAAGTTTCAAGTGAGTTTTGAGAATCTGAGCTCTTGTAGACTTCTACACACAGCTTGCACCTCCATTTATCAGCGTTGTTTCATTTGGTGGTATTTTTATGGTGCTTGCTCTCAGGGGCTGCCAAAGCAAGGCATGTGGAGGAGGGGAAAACATGGCAAGAAGAGCATGAGTGCTCCTGTTGACCTTTTGTTGCCACCTCCCAGCCATGTCCTTGTTCATGTCAGACTTAACAATTTCCCCAAACAAATGCGAATCGCAGCCATGCGGTAGCAACTATGACAAAATGGAGCTCATTTAGTTATTCAGTCCTTGCGTTTCCAGTGTGTTTTCTTGTTTATAGCTTAAAGTGTTTCGATCATCAGTGCAGAGAAAATGAAGCTTTGCATTTCAATTCCAACTGAATTTAAACAGCGGATTTCTAAAATCAGTCATCTCTCCTCCGGCTCCTACAGAGCCATTGAATGGGGGCCATTTAGCAGTAATCAGCACGAAGTGACCCCGTTGTCCTTCGCAGCGTGTGCTTGGGTGGTGCACGGGTAATGGATGCTCTGCAGGGGAACTGTAAGATTTTCTGTTAGAACACTTGAACAAAGTTTTCCTTCCCACAGCAGCCGAGGTAGAGCAGCACCGTTTGTATGAGTATGGATCGTAAATCTATCATTGGATTTCACTTCTTCCTGTAGTTATTATGATTGTTAGAAAATCCAGGTTCTCTGAGTATGAGAATTATTTCCAGGTTATCCAGTGCCATGCAGAAATACAAATACATGTCACTGAGGAAGATCTTACAGGATGTCATTTTGTGCATGAGGTTTCTTTTTTTTTTTTCCCTACAGTTAATACTACCTTTCAGTTTTCCAGTTGCATTCAGATTTCAGTGCAAATGAGTCGTCGCTGAGACTCTCTGAGAGGAGAATTTTGCTTTGTTGTTCCTATGCCTGCAGTGAAAGGGAGGAAAAAACAGGTTGAGAAAAGGGAGTGTGAAAACTGCTATAATTTAGTGCATGATTTCCTTGAAACTTTCCCCCAGGTCTGGAATGCACAATCTGTGTCGTGGCTGATTAGAGGGAGATGCTTCAGTCTTGCAGAGTTTCTAGAAATAGTCATAGATGCTTTGGTGAAGCAATAACATTATTTACTGGGAATGCCAGAAGAAAAAGATGCCAAACTCCTCAGCATAACTTCAGAAATGCATCCAGATAATGTTATTTTACTGTTAGAGATGAAAGGGATTTTATATAATACCCCAGGCAACTATTTTCTTCCTGTATCTCAGTGAAGCACCAAACAGAACATATTATGTTGCTGCACATCCATATTGAATTGCATTCATACCTTTTGCTTGCAGACCAAAGCACTGCTGTGATCTTGCTGACTTGGTATCTGCTTTTCCACTGTAGTCTGAGTGTTCTTCCATGGCCTGTTCCTAAGACACCAATTAAGCTGAGGTTTTAGCAAAGAGTTGCTCCTCTTTTTTTCTCTGTCTAATTTGATCTCACTGGGTGCATTGATATTCCTTTTTGATGGACTTTGTGCCCTGTTGGAGGTGGAAGCACTGAGGGGCAGTGATGAACAGACACTGCTGTAATGCACCTTTACTTCTGTTTGTGTAAAGGAAGAGCAGAGATAGGGACAGAGCAGGCAGCTCCAGGCTGTGCAGGGTAGATCAGTGGAGAGAATAAGCTGAGGGGGACGATTAGTGTAAGATCCTAATCCTTTCTGTATTGTTTGGTAACAAGCAGTTTTGAATGCTGATGTTCCTGAAATATCAGTAGATGCACGGTGATGTGCAGCAGGGTGATGTGCAGCCTGTCTGCTGCGTGAGGTGGCTCATGCAGGAGGCTGACCTAGTTCACAGGGTTCTCTTTTCTTGAGTGAGAGAGAGAGGCAGGTGGTGAGCCAAGGTGGCTGCACCAAGCTTACGCCAAGTTGGGTTAGGCAAAATTAGCTGTTGGGAAATAACACTGTACAAGGAATAGCAATTTTCTACACTGTGCAACCCTGCAAGGTGCACAAATAGCTGCTCTATATACTGTATTTGGCTTTCAATATTTGCTGAATTAGTCAGGTTAAATTAGCGCTTAAGGAGAAGAAAATTCTTCTGATTTATGCTGTTTGGAATGGCTTGAATTAAGCACTTGTTCCTTTTGTTTTGCAGACTTTGTGAAGCCGACTCCAGCAAAGAGAAGGAGTTCTATTTCTGCCAGCCAGACCCAGTCTCCAGTGCTGGTCCCCCTGATGGCAGTTTGTACAACCCTCTGAAACCTGCCAAGCTGGACGCCACAGATTTGCACGACTGCACTTTGGCCGCCACTGTGCCTCCCTCGGAGCTGTTGAACCATGCAGTCCAAGCCTGTGACACAGGCATTCATGAAGAGCAGTATGTAAGCGAAGCAGTGGAAGATGATGTGCCAGACTGCAGAGAGTACAGAGATGCCTGCACCATTACTGGTAAGCAGTCATAGATTTTATCTCGAGAAGGCTGTGGAGATGTGTAGTTAAGCTTCCATTCTTAAGCTTGTATCTGGTCCGTGGATGGTGTTGGTGCTGCTGTTTTGCATGTTTTTACTTATTTAGTAGGGGGTTTCACTGGTACCTGAATTTTCAATGTCAACTCTTTATAAGGCTTAGGGGTTTCACAGATGGGCTCAACTGATGATAGCTGTGAAACCAGGATATTATACTTGCATGCTTGGGAAGTTGAACCATTTGGAGCATGTTTGGAAGGCAAGACAACAGTCAGGAATGAGAGGAAAAGAGTACTGCAGCTTGATGTTATGTTCAGCATAACTGAGATTTTTATGTTTGTGACATAAGAATTTATTTGTGGCAGAAGGGAACGGGAGAGACAATATGAAGCATCCAGTGTTTTGACTGTATATCTTTTCACTTTTCACAACCATTCTGTTTTTTGTCATGTTAGTCCTGAAACTCTAAAAGTTTATGCATAAGGAGGAGCTTCTTTTGCATGTTGTATGAAAGATTAAATGCCTTTTTATCGTACAGTTAATACAAATAAGTGGAATGTGTATTTAAATATGACATTTTAAGCAGAGTTAGCTTCTTAGTTCTGTGGTCAATTGACCCAATTCCTTTGTGGTTGAATAATCACTGTAGCTCAGTTTAGTCATGGATATGGCCATGAAATAAATGACAGGTAGTTTCCATTCCAAATGCATGGGTTTTAGCTGAGCTGAACTCTGTTAGCTTCAACTGACCTTGTCAGTTCCAGGGTCTTCTGGGATTGTTTGGGAAGTCAGCTGAGTTTTCAAAAAGAAGAAATGTGAGCACTGAAATAAACAAAAAATAAGACCAGGGACCTTCTAATTGGCTGCTGGATAGCTGTATCCCAGGTAACTTCCACCTTCTGAATCTTCTGAGGTCAGAGAGCTGGTTAATGAAGTCTGTTGGCAGGTATTTCTGTAGTATACCTTAACCTTACTCAGCCTATGTGCTGTGTAGTTGTTGATATTCTCAGAAAAAGAAAGTTAGGAGGGGAGTGATGCTCTGAATACCCCTATTCTTTACATTCCAGGATGCTGGAGTAGTAATGCATACATACCCATGCCATGCAGAGGGGAAAGTGTGAGAAGATGACACTTACTGCTTTGGATTGATGGCTTTAAGGACAACTGTCAACAGAACAGTGCAGCACTTCTGTGAACACTAAAAGGGGGCTTGCAGTGCCTGTTAAGGTGTTGCAGATGAAATTTGTGATGACTAGTCCAGAATTTAAGGTGACATATTAATGATGTGGTTAGAATAGCTGCTTATGTTTGAGAAACCTTCTGATTCACTCTTAGGGAAGGTTGCTTTTTGCAGCTAGCCTGCGCTCTGGAGTTGCTCATCCCTGCCATTATAACCTTTACTTGGTTCTCTTTACAACACCATTACAGTTCTTTTTGCAGCACACATGCAGCACATCCCTTTCAGTCAGATGTGCTTGTATATAAAATTAAGTTTTTGGTAACAAAAGATAGCTCCTCAACCCTGGTTATTCCTCTATGCTATGTTTTCCAGGCTCCTTGTAGAATTATCTTTATTGCAAGTTCTGTTGGTCGTGTCCTGACCCTCCAACTCTGTTTTACCTTTTCCTAACTTTTCTTTAAAGTAGTTTTTGTTAAATTGAGGTCAGGGCATGTCATCTTATCTCATGCTGTTTCAAGCATGATGTACTTTCTGAATCTCATCTTTCTCACTTATCAGCCAAATGTGGTTTGCTGATTGATCCTGTAATGTTTTTATATTGGTTGCCTGTTCTGCAGCAGTAAACTGGTACCACTTATTGACTTGGAGGCCAGACAGTAAAATTTACAGTAGAAACAGTTTGTTGTGTTTTTGTTGTTGTTGTTTTGTTTTGTGTTAGTTTCAACTCTGTTGTGCTTTGTAAAGGGGTCAAAGGGCAAAGACTGGGAGTTGGAAATTGCTCTTGTACTTGCTCTGCAAAATCTCTTTTTGGTCAGCAGTACATACATCTTGTATACATCTGACACAAGGAGAGGAAGAATTGTCAGAGCCTTTAATGTGAACTCTTTGTGTAGGTCTGGCAGGTCAGCACCACTTACGTTTTAAGATCTCCAGGGGAAAACAATTGTTCATACCAAGTCTGCATATGCTGTATTTTTTTCCCTACTGCTGAGCCTTTGCTTAGCCAGGAGCAGACAGTTTCAAGTACAACAGTGGTGGTGATCTGTTTTCTTTCAGTCGATGGTTAACAGTTGGATTTTACTGTAAAGGTTTTCTGCAAAAGTTGTTGTACATAAAGGCTTGTACACAGCAAGCAAATCCTGGGGAAATGAGTGGCAGTGCTCTGTGGTGGTACTTTCTCAAATGTAACCAGCAAATGGCAGTGAAATTGGAGTTGGCCCCGATGTATCCTAAACCTATGAGGTGGTATGCTTTTTAATGTTCAAGGAGGCCATGGGTGCATGAAGAATTTTAAATTATTGTAGCTTTCTTTGGATCTGTTCTTTTTGCTGGCAGCAGGTGGGCACTCCAGTGCTCTGTCAGCAGTTCAGTCCTTGCTGTGTGGAACCTAGGGGAAGATTCAGTTACAGCTGAAGGTGCACTGTGCATTCTGATTGTACTGAGCATGCTATCTTGGATACAAATCTGGCTTAAACATTTCCTGTCCCCAGCCTGTCCCAGCAACACGTGTGTGCAGATTTTTGTGGCACTGAGATTTTTGAGGTATTTTAGACAGCTGCTCCAGATAGAATCTGCTTCTCACTTGGGCAGAAGGGGTGATGTGGGTGTTGCTTTTAGCTGGGTCACATCACTGAGCTGCTTCATCCCGTGGCCTAGAAGCAGCTGTGCTGGCATAGCCAAGGCAGTGAGCTGAATGAGGGCAGGCTGGTGGGACTGAAAAACAAAACAAAACAAAAAAGCAGAGGAAAGGTTTGCATAAGTTAATGTCAACACTGGTCGGAGGCAGCAACCTTGAAGATTTCTTCCACACCAAATTTGTTGGTGGTAAAGCAATCCAAAGCTTGTAGTTACTGTAACTGAAGTGTTACACCTGCACATTTGTACAGTCTGAAGGTGTGCTAGTTTGAGCAGAGGGGCAAAAGAAATAAGACACTTGATTCCTTAAAAATAATTGGTTTTGAATGTTTTAACAGCCATTATATAAAAAAACCAAAAAACAAAAAACAAAAAAAACACAAAAAACCCCACAAAAATAGAAACGAAACCAAACAAAACTGGTGGGCCACTTTCTAAACAGTAATATTATTAAACCTGTAAATGGATTAAGTATCTGCTACATATAATAAATAATTTGGAATTGTTGTTCCTTTTTTTTGTTACCACAGTTTGAATGAGAAGTTTCAGGTTCTGAGGCTGATGGACAGTGGGGCAGCACTGTATAACATGGAAACATCACTCTGCTCCTACATGTGTAAAGCACCTATCTTGTCCCAGTTGGATTTTTCCTTCAAACTTCTCTTTTTCTTGCTGCTGCCATTCCAGAACACAAAGATGCAAACACGAATATAGCACCATCTAGCGTTCTTTTTCACAGAAAAGGAACGTATGTGTTTCCAAAAACGCATTTCCCTGTAGCTGCAGTGCAGGCCTGGAGGCCTCCAGTCAAATAGATTCTGACAGTAACAATACCTCGGGGGTGGGACTTTCCCCTCCAGCACCTCTCACCTCCTCTTTTTGTAAAGAGAGAAGGGCTGCAGTCTTGATAAGATAAAGCAGAGTATCACTGTGTCAGTTGCTAAATAATCCAATTATTACAAAAGCCTTTTAATCAGATTGCCTTTTCCATGCCCATCATCTGCTGTCAGACGAGTGCTGTCCTTCTGGAAGTGGAGAGTACAGTGCAGATGGAAATCTGAAATATTGTTGGAGCATAGAGTTACTCTTCTGGCATCTTGGCATCCATCACAATGCATTTCTGGCTATTAAATTTTTATTTGTTTCTCTTCATATCTCACACAGGATCATAAACTATCTTCACTAAGTTAACTTTGTATGCTTTCTTGTATCTGAAGACTATTTGCAGTGGTTTTGGCATGGTGTACTTTGTAATTCAAGAACTAGCTGTTTAATATGCTACTCAGGTTTTCTTCATCCTTCTCTGAAAAGGAAGAGAATGAATGGACTATGATTTAAATTGCCTAGCTCCCTCATTAGTTTGCAAAATTCATTTGTTCATTATACAAATTACTCTTTCTGAACGTATGTGGGAGTGTATTCTCTGGCTTTCAAATACTGGGCAATTCCCTGAGAGTTCTTGGAAAATGATTTATGGTGATAAACCACTTCTGTGTTTTATGTTCAGTGCTTCTCAGTAAGCTGTATTCTTACTGAACAAAAAAACCCAAACATCACCAGATAGATCAAACCACATGATCTCTATTTCTCTCATCTGAGAGATCTCTCTGAGAAAAGTTACATGACTTGGAAGGTCAAATAACAGTAAGTTCCTCCTTACTCCAATGGTGGGCACTCAGCCTCCAGAGAAACCATCTTTCTCTTGCTCCTGCCAGAAAAGATTTTCCCTGGATTTTCATCAGTTTTCCTTAGTAAGGCTTTAATTATGGTCTTCTGTGAAACAAATATTCCATCAAATGTTGAAAAACTCTTCGTGGTAATGACGTGGTCACATGTCCTTTGGTAAGTTGTATAATTTTGACCATTTTTCTTCTGTAGTTATTTCATTCTAAAGGGCATCTCCAGAGCCTGAAGGATTTCTTTGCTGCTTCTCCTACCTTTGTGACAAAGTTGTGCCTGTCTCCTCCAGCAGCAATTGCAGTTGTTGGTATAGAGAGCCCAAGTGCAGCTGCTCTCAGTCATCTGTTCTCAGCACATGTATCCCCATCACTGTTGGGGAACAGAACTGTTGTTAAGAGGTCTGCAGGGTACAGCCCTGCCTACTTCTCTTTGTGTCCACTAACTTTGGACTCCAGCTGTGTTATTCTAAGTCCCTTTTGAATCTGCTG